ATCACGTTACACGCGATATGTACCAGTTGAATGACTAAATAACGCATTAAGGAATGCATAATAACACAATTGAATGGCTAAATAATGCATGGGTAAGCCAAAATAATGCTTAGAGAATATTCTAAGCACGTTACGCGCTTATACTCGTTGAAATGATAAATAATGCAGCTGGAATGGAAATAATGCAACGGTAATGATAAATAAGTAACGCAGTAAGAAGGCGGAATAACGTAGGCAGAATATTTAGATCTCGTTACGCGTGATATGTATCAGTTGAATGACTAAATAACGTATTAGGGAAGGCATAATAACGCAATTGAATGGCTAAATAACGCACGGGGAAGCCAAAATAACGCTTAGAGAATATTCTAAGCACGTTACGCGCGTCTTATACTGGTTAAAAAGATAAATAATACAGCTGGAATGGGAAATAACGCAACGGTAATGATAAATAACGTAGTATAATGCCTAAATAACACAGTGAGAATGCGAAATAACGTAGGCAGAATATTCGGATCACGTTACGCACGATTTAATCGCGCCGATTATATTAATGACGCAGAAAAATGTGAAAATAATGCACCGGGAAGGTAGAATACTGCAGCCGCAAAATAAGTAATGCAGGGAGAATATTCCCAACGCGGAAAGTAATGCAGCTGAGGAGGAAAGTCACGCGGAAAGAATATCCGGACTACGTTACGCCGGCTTAATTGTGGTGCGGTATCGGTAGTAGTGTTATTTTCAATATTTTTTTTGTGTTACTAAGTTGTTATCGATGTGTTATTGGACTGTTATCGGAAGGTATGTGTTATTAATGTGTTATTGGACTGATTTTCACATGTATTTGCATAAATATTAATTCTGTAACATGAACAACATTATAACCAACGTATTACATTAGTAACATAAACAACACCATAATTATCGAAGTTGTAACACAAATACATTGATTTGTAATACATCAAAGATGAGTTATGGAATCCATCAATAGTTTGGTGAATGTTTGAGATGATCTTTGCGATGAAAAAAATTCTTGTCATGTTGTAAAGAAAACACTTTTAAGAAAAACATATTTAAAAATTCTCTAATGAAAAACATGTTGGATTTCATTTTTATACCTGACTTAGACTGTTAGGCATAATTGGATCGGATGGAATAGCAGGTTCTCGTCTTGTTGATTCTTTAAGATCTTTTCCTGTAAGCAGAGCTTATGTTTAGAAAAGGGAAATAAAACTTAGATTGAAGCAGTTCATTTAATGTAGAGAAATATACTTTTGGATCTCTTATTTTTCTCCCAATATTTTTTCGGCCTAGAAGTAGAAACAACTTTTGGCCACATTACATTTTATATTTGATTGTTTTTTCTTCTTTGTTTTCTCCTAACAATAGTTGTTTTTCCAGCTTTTGCTTCGTAAATATCTATAGATAGCTTTTTAAATGTTTCTCATAGCATCTATTGGTAAATTCGTCTCTTTGTGCTTTATTGATTAGTTGATACGTAAATTTCTGAGATTGTGAACGGAATAGGAGACGACTTGAAGAAATAGCCATCATTTGGGACTCCCTTAGATGTTTGTATTCAAACCTGTTATAGATGCCTCTCTTTGCATGATTAGACCATCTCAATAACAAATATTGTTCAGAAATGATATTTATTTTAACCACATTAAGAACATGTAGTGCGTGCGAACACAACCCTTTCATTTCAAACATCCTGCAACTACAAGAGACATCGGAGTTAACGCTGCCAAAATTCACAACCAATGTCTTGGATGTGTCATCATTATCTAATTTGCGTATATAATATTTGGACTCACTATCTGCGGAGAATTTAAGTGTGAGTCCACATAACCCACTAAGCAGCTCTTGCTCGAACATTGAGTAAAGCTTCCTCATATAAAATGAGGAAGCTTGCCTCAAAACTCAATTGACTCTAACCATCAGCGTAGTGATAGATTGGTTGCATTTGAAATCTTCGTCATTCTCGTTCTTGCGTTATGATTTCAATATATTTTCAAAGCCGATAAACCAATCTGTCAGCGAGTTTGTCGGCTTTGAAACATCATGACATATATTATTTGTTGACTCACTTCTTTGAGCCGATAGAATTCTCATTCCAAATATTTTTTTATTGAATGCAGTGAACCATTTGTGTCTGATTTTGTACATCTCATGCAACCACGCGTTATTGTATAGGTCACCCACTAACATCATTAAGGACCAAGTTTCTTCGAACTCCTTCGACTCGCATTTACTCATGCATTTATAAAAAAGGCCGGTAACGCTCTTAATAGAAACTCCACAATACACTTTTGAAGTAATTTTTTGTAGATATGTCATTGATATGATCTAATGTTGTGTTTGTGGGAGACATTTTTCAATAGCCATTGTCATTGTTTGGTCCTGATAAGTGAAAATACTTAATAGATGTTTGTCTCTCATTATTCTTATAAAAGCTCTGAATAACCATCTGAAAGAATCAATACTTTCCTCGGACAAGAAGCCAACCCCAAACAGGACGTTTTGCTAATGGTGGTTAACTCCCACAAAGAGAGCACAGCATAAGTTATACTTATTTAATCTGTAGTTTGTATAAAAAATGATTACATCCCTAAAACAGTCATAATCCAGTCTGGATAACCTATCACACAAAAAAAACTTGTTAATCTACCATAATCATCAGTTTGGAAATCTCATGCAAAAATGTTATCGTCGGTTTGCCTCCCCATGAACAATTGTATTAGAGAATTGACATCTCCTTGTTCAATTTTTTTCTCTTCTTTCACTTTTAATGAAATTGAACGCATCCCTCTTCGTGCATTCCAAATTCTCCACTCCCTGAGCCTCCGTAGCAACGAAGTTATATGCATTCGTTACTCTGATCCCTGATCATGTCATTGATTTTAGGACATTTGCATTTAAGTCAGTTATCTTTCTACTGGAACGAAGAAAATGCTTATTACCACATTCAGTCAAGGGATGGTTATGACTTTCAATGAATTTCTTTACTGTCCAATTGAGTTCAAGGTCAACTGCATGGCCAACCATAGCTTGACAGTCAGTCCTCGTGGCTGAATTTTTGTACTTTATTGTATTCATGAGGTTAGACTCCTTGTGACCAGCTTTTTCGCAAAGGAACTCCAATATCCCAAGAGATATTGATATTGCACTTCCAAACAAGAACAAGTAGACTCTTCAAAAGGTCAGACCTATGAACTGTCAGTAGTAGTGCATCTTGTGCTTCTTCAGTTACCACATTTGCGCTGTCATTTTTTGTCTTCTTGGGATATCTGCAATTCCTCTTTATGTGGTTAGTTTTGTCACAATTCCAGTAAGTTACTTGTTTACCAGACCTTGACTTGCTCCTACTTCTGTGCTTTGATTTTGATTCTCCTCTGTTTGAGTTCTTGTCTTGTGATATTCCTCTGGAATCAACATTTAATGCTAAACTTGAACCTGTGGTCTTGCCAAAATCTTTCATGCGCACCTCTTCAGTTAAAATCAAATCACGAATATCATCATATTTCAATTTAGATTTACTTGTAGAGTTACTGACAGTCATACTCATAGTTTCCTAACTATTTGGCAATGAAGACAACAAGATCAGTGCCCGTATCTCATCATCAAATTCAATTTTCACAAACGATAATTGATTTTTGATAGTATTGAAATCATTTAAGTGTTGTACAACAGACGTACATTCTGCCACCTTCAAATTGAATGAAAATTTTTTCATCAGATATACTTTGTTATTCGTCTATGGCTTTTCATATATATCTGACAGGGCTGTCATGAGATCTGCAGTCGTCATTTCATTGTCTACGTTGTGTGCAACGAACTTCGATAGAGTCAATCGAATAACCCCTAGAACTTTTCAATTCAACAAATTTCATTCTTGCTGATATTTTCCCCAATAACGGAAGATGAAGTTTATTTCCATTAAGGTAGTCATCTATCTGCATTCTCCAGTAATCAATCTATTGTCATCGTCTTTTCTCATATTTGAACCAAGGGGTTCTAATACTAGTTGGTGCGTATATTTAAAATAGAACGATCGACGACGAAGCAAAAAATAGAACGAAAAAATTCGCACCAGAATACACAGCGTAAAAATCTCAAGCAGAATTGAACGGTGACACAAGGAAAATACATATATATGGTAGATAACTAGGAGAGGGAGACCCCTCCCCTTGGGTGGCAACCCTAGCCTATAAACATGGACCGGCTGGCCCTGCTCCTCTCTTGGAACTGGTTCAGCCCCATAGAAGCCCCGCGTCAACACACACACACACGAGCAATATGAATGTATTTTCTTTTTGATCTTATGTTCTTAAAGCTTGTGCAGTCCATTTTGTGAACGGATCTCATTTGGACAATTTTGGCGATGGTCGGGGCAAATTCACTTGCATGTGCAACATTGGGTTTGAATCTCGTCATTTTCATGCTTGCTCTTTTTGGTTATTGGAGGTCCCTCCTTGGGAAATTTTGACAATGACATGCATTTGAAGCAATCCAATTCCATTTTGCATGTCACCACATTGGATGACCTTCATGTTCGCAAGTGACATTCCTAAAGAATTCTTGATACTCTAGAAGAGACGATGTGGCTCATTTTCTGTTCGATGACGTTTGAACACCTTTGATGGCAACTGCATCATCCTAATTTTAATTTTTATATTGTCTCGTTTGGCATTCATTATCGATGCTTGTTCATCTCGGGAATTATATGTGGAGGTCCATTCTGAAAATTATGCAAGCTAAAATAAGTATTGTGCACTAGAATAAGGAGAATACATGCACACTTGCTACTCCCTATGTGTTAAATTCTTGAATATAATATAAAGTCAGAAAATGACAATTATACAATCAAATTTGGCGATCGAACTATTCTCAAACTAAAATATAACTGCATGTTTTTACAGGTAGTTCATGCTTCTACTTTCGGTGCATGATGTAATCATCTTTTTACATAAACTTCTTTCTATGTTTATGAATTTCAGTCAGAAAGGGATCGCGTAAGGCATCAACATCAAAATGTCCAGAGAGAACGTCACCAGAACGTAAGCACAGCTTGTTCTTGCTAGCTCTGCTATAGTCCATCAACTCCTGTAGAGCTAATATTTCAGTCTCAGTAATAAACCTATTTATCCCCATTCAGTTTCATCAGGTTTGGGGACAGCTCATGAAGACAGGCTACCAGAACTCCCGATTTGCTCATCAGGTTATTACTAATGATATTATGTGAACTCTTTCTCTCTCTCTCTATGTATGTATCTATATATATGTGTGTGTGTGTGTGTGTGTGTGTGTGTGTGTATCAAAATAGTCCCCTCACTCATGCAGGGACAACTTTATTCCCTGAATTTATAAAAGTGTCAATTTAATTTCCAAACTCTTAATATTAGTTGAAATAGTCCTTACTGAGAATCATTTTGGCTCCAATTAAAGCAGTCTAGGAATTAATTTAGCACTTTCATATACTTTGGGAATAAAATCCTGATGTAAATAGTCAGGAGACTATTTTAAAACTATATATATGTGTGCAGGTTGATAGGTTTGCTTGTTTGTATACGAGCCAAGTGACAAACTTGGGCTTGTATTCCCCTGAAAAATACTACAGGCCTACTGAAGATTTCATGCCTCATGAATTTGATATCCTTGAAGATTAAAAGCTTTATTGGTTTTATACAAGCCACTTTAGGTTATAGGCCCGGCATTGAAGGTCTTGCATATGCGGGATGCGTGCATTTGGGTGTGTGTAAAAAAAAAAGGTTCATTGATTGCAGTTCATGGAGACTAGAGGTTGCTGAAGAAGAGATATTATCAAGTGTGCTCTTTTTTTCCTACTTTTCAAGTGTATAGAAGCAGCTTCACCTTATTCTCTGTTCTTTTCAAATGTAAACATTCAAATATATATTAAAAAAAATGAAAACCTGCTTCTCATGCCTATTAGGTCCCAATTAAATAGGCATTATGTGTTTGAATTGTAATTTCAGCTTGCTGACACTATTAAATACTTGACAAGAAAGTGGCACTCGTCCAAATTAGATGTGTAAGAGCTCTTGTTCTGTCAGTAGCTGATTGTGGTATTCTTGAATGATTTACATGCAGGCCACTTAATTCCTTTGTATGTACATATCTAACACCGATATTTTAATTTTTACATTTATGGCACCTTGCAATATATTTAAAATGTGTATCTCACTACTACTAGTATTTTTTATGTGATATAAAAGATTTAAGTTGCATAATTGTAAAAAAGGAAAGTTTAGGTGCTACATATGTAAATACCTAGAAATTGGGTGGTGTGTATGTAATTGCCATTATTTTTTTTTTGTAATTAGCTGAGCACTTTGGGTCATCTAGGCATGTGTGCGTGTGTCCGTGTGTGCCGCAAGACGTGACCTGTTGGCAGAGCAGCTTCTTTGAAGGTTGTAAGTCACCTCAGGCCACATAAGAGATAATATATTAATGGCACCTTGCAATATGCTTTAACAAATTAATGTCCCCTATGAGCAAAACATTAATTCTCAAATTCAATAATATATTTTGTTTATCTCTTATGTTTTACTATTGTATATGTGACTTATTTTTGAATATTTGTAGTATTATAAAGTTAGAATTTTAGAGTTGACTATTTTTCCTCATCTAAATTTCTTCTTCTTGATTATGAGTCAGTAATTTTTTCTTGGTTATTTTATCTCACGTATATTCTAATTTTTTGATTAAGCATTACATATTCTTTTTAGTTGTTCCATCGCACATAAATTTATTATTCCATTCAAATTTATGACTAATTTTTTCTATCATTAATGCAAGAAGTGATCTGATGGATCTATCAAATGAAGAAAAAAATATAGAGATAATTCAACGAATTTCCATTTTGATAACTGTAATATTTTACAATAATGAGTATTGCCAACCTTATTTGTGTAAAACCTCGTGCATGACATCCTCCTTAATATGTGACTAATAGATTGGTGAGCTCCTTCAGTCATCTAGATAAAATTCACAACATATTGTAAATGTCTAAAATGATATTTTGTTGTCTCCTAAATAAATTGCAAAATCAGTACGGTTTGTATAGATCGTCCAAAATTACCCCAAGTATTGGCCATCATTATATATACATATATGTTATCAAATAATGAGTCGATGTGTGTTACATCTGAATGATTTCAATACTCAACAGTGACTATTAGCAAATATTTTGATATTGATCTCAGCTCGTTGGTTAGAATGTCTTAATCTATTATTAAACTAATGAATCCTAACTTTGGTTGTACAGCCAGAGAAACATGTGATTTTATCAAATACATGTCATTCTTTAAGGTAATTATTATATAATTTTATGACTTCATTTGCATATTTTATTTAAGATTAATTATGATAGTTTCAATTTCTAATAGGATTGTATAGAAGTCATTATGTCACACATGTTGATGCACATGTTGATGATAATAAAAATATCATATATATACATCATTGTGGATCTCTAACATAGAATATATTAAAAATATATGACTTTAACATATGGTTTACCTTCATAATCGTCAGATGGGAATGTAGTGTTCATAATAGTCATATTCTCCAATTTGTATCTTTGAGGCATGAATATAATTTATAATGTCTTCCTATCAGTTAAATTAATCAATTTAGTATAAATGTGCTTGTGCTTATTCGTCATAATATTGCTTACTTACAGGGAAGTATTACCCCATCGACGTTGGGCATACCATGCATTAAAGTTTATTAATGCATTGCCCTAATATTAAGTACCATATTCCTCATAACAGTTAAGTAATTAGAGCAGGAATGAATTATTTTACAAGCAGCACATATCATTATGAGGTGTGATTGAGAGAACATTCAGTGTATGAATGCAAAAATGGAGCATACTCTAAGATATACTGACATATTAACATAAGAAGCAAGTCAAAAACAGTTGTAGCAATGACAGCTTTGCATAGTTTCATACGCAAACATTCATGTCAAGATGATGGCGACTTCGGGGTCTTTGATGAGGATTGAAGCATTCAAACATCATACAAGATAAGAAACACTGGAAAAAGATTTGGGTGTTGGGACATTTGATAGGGAGGGTGTTCAAAAGATTATTCAATTGATAGAGCAAATTAGAGATGCCTTACTGAATGCATCTAATACAGATAATTGATGAGTTGATGGAACGAGACGAATGACTTTTTGGGATAATTGCACATCTCTACAAGAAACTAGTTTTGATAGAAGATTTTATAGGTGTCCAAAAAATAGGAGGCAGATGTCTACAACTGTTTCAGATGGGCTCAAGGCTGTTAAGAGTTCACACATTGGAAAAAAATTTCTTCTAAAGGCTTTATCATTTGAACACGAAGACTACTATTATAATAAGTTTACTTGTTCTTATTTTAATTATAATTTTTTTGTAATCCATTAGCGTCAAGTGATGTATTACTTGTAATGCAATATTTAAACTTCTGCCTCTAAATAATATTTTAAACTTTATTTCAGGTATTTTATTTGAATTATTTACGAAGCTATGCACGTTCAATAGTCCTTACTACAAGAACAACTGCAAACACAACAAGTTCATAACTGAACTATCAAAACAAACTGCTGATGGTTCTCATAGAAATAACTTCATAACAGTTTCTCCTACCAGTAGCTTTACAACTGTTTCTTCAAAAAATTGGAGCTATCACAAACAAACCCTTCGAGTGATTTAAAGTAGCCACTACTTAGGTAAATGAGAGTGCAACTTGTTGGTAGAACTATTTCTTTGAGATCGATGGAGTAGTTGCTAATAATTTGTCAATTGGCCTCCCTTGAATTAAGGTAGTAAATCTACTCAATTCCATGTGCAACTTGGCTTTTGACATATTATGGGTGATAGGGTTGTTATAAAAGCTCGTCGTAGCTAACATGTTGAGTTTAGCTTGTTAAATAGCTCGTATTTGATTCATTCTTTTAGCAAGCAAGCCAAACAAGAATAATTTTTTTAGCTCGATTGATAAACGAACCGAACACGAACAAAAGTTTGTTCGTTCCTGTTCACCTTATTTTGACTCGAATAACTAAATATTAAATAATAATATTTATTTATATCATTTTTATATTAAATTTTTATATGTATTAAAAAGTTAAATATTATTTTTTAAAAAAAATTATTTTTGATGCATGCTAGAAAATTCACAGCGATAGAGTAATGGATTATCGTCTTAGTGTTACACAAGAATTCAACACACACTCAGGTGAAATAGATCAATCAGTAATGACACCATAAGTTTTTTACGTGGAAAAACCCTTAAAGGGAAAAAACCACGGCTCCTGACTCAGTTGTAAAATCCACTATAGGTGGTGATTACAAAAACCCATTGTTCCACAGGCGGGAAATGATTACTAGACTTTCTAAGTTACAATGTTGACTGATAGTGTCTTGTTGGTGGTGGTTGACGATGATTGATGGTGATAGACACTGGTTGGCAATTATCAATGGCCAACAATGATCGGTGGTTGTAGATGACAATCGACGGTTGTAGATGACAGTCGGCGGTGGTTGATGATGATCGACGATGGTTGACGGTGGCCAGCGACAATCGATGGTTGTCGGAGGCGATCGACCATGATAAGAATAATGTTGGACTTTAACTCCTTCTCAAAGCCTCAAGTTTTCTCTCAAAGTTCAAGATTTCCCCTAATGTGAGGGGTGATACTCTATTTATAATGTTTTGGGTGCAATAAATCTAGGAATATGAACAATTTTGATCGGACGATCCTAAGAGATTCCTTCTATCGGACAACGTTTGATGGACATTTAAGTGTCTTAACAATATTTGAATTCAGCAATCTTGGGCTCGTTTGATTCATCTTGTCGGGACACTTAATTCGACTATGAACTTGCTAGATTCGACATCCGTTCAATATTTCAAATGTGTTTGTAAACCTTCCAAGAACGGTTTTAATGAGTCGATCTAAGCTTGATTTGATTATGATTGGATCAATTTTAATATCATTGGGTCCATATCATTGAGTCGATTAGTTTGACTATAAGTTTGCTGAAACTGAAGCTCTGGATGACCCTTAACTAAAGTCTGAATGTTTTTTTCTCAAAAGATTCTCGATATTCGTGTCATGCCTTGAGATTCATGTCGGATGATTAAAATTTATCGGTGGCGTATCAGTTGCCCCATTATTTTCAGGCGAGACCATTTTTGCCGTCCGAAAATATCTAGATGTAGAGCTTTTTTATTTTTTAAAAAACATAGGCGTGCGCGTGTTTATATATATGAAATTTTTTTAGTGGCGTATAATTTGCCCCACTATTTTCGGGCAAGACTATTTTCGTCGTCCTAAAATATCCAGATCTAAGGTTTTTAAAATTTTTAACGGGCATGCGGGTGTGTGTGTGTGTGTGTGTGTGTGTGGGCGCGCGTGTGTGCGCTTTATTTTTATGAAATTTAAATAACATTAATTTAAATTTATATATATTATAACAAAGAAAGTTAGCTCAGTTCGTTGTTGGTTTTGCCAAAAGAATGTCACAGGTTCATTTCCGATGCAGGACAAATATTATTATTTTTATTATATATATATATATATATATATATTTATTAAGCTGCATGTCGCATAGGTAAATAGAATACCGCATGCATTTTTTCTCACTTTTGGCCTTGCCAGGTTCTTCAATTCTGACACAGTGCATGTTGTGCCATTTTGGTCGATTTGCAGCTTCCATAGGCATAAATCGATATGATAATCCTTGTAAGAGCGACACAAGGGTTTTAAGGTTTATCATAAATTTTGATGTTTTATGTGTCCTGATAGAATCATTAAATTTTGATAGAAATAACACGTCTTTTATCATAAATTTTGATGTTTGGACAAGAATTTGATAAAAGAATGAAATATGGTGGTAATTTTGTAAAGAGCAGCGTTTCAATTTATTTTCCTCTTTTTAATCACTTTTTTTCTCCTTCTACTGCATGATGATGATGGCGACTAATCAACAAGATTAGTTTGTGCATCCTTTCATTGAATACTAATTGTTTGCTTAATATTCAACACATAATTATGAAAAAAGTTATTCTTCGAGATAAAGATGATACATTCGTATTCCGCATCATGAAAAAATCATTCAAATGCAAAATAATTTAAATTTA